TTGCAACCAACTGAATACCGCTTGCCTTCAAAGCTATGGTGGCCCACTCCCTCTGTAGATAAAAATGGCTCATTCTAAGGTAACAAAAACATAATAATTCCTATTTTCAGTTTATTATACACCAATGAAAACATATGGATATTATGTTCATTTCTGCCAATAGAACCTCCTAATTGTTGCACAATGAACCCTTTTCGGACCTCTGCTTTATTTACAAAAAAATCATTAGACATCCTTGCCATATTAAAACCTGCATACCATCTTATAATAATTACTTTTCATTTAAGGCCACAGCAGGGACGTGTGGCTGAAATATGGGCTCAGGGTCATCTCTGTGGTTCTAAACATATGGCCCCTGAACATACACGAATGTCACTCACAACTGCAGCCTCTGCAGCAGGCTTGTGTAGCAGGTGCTGACAAGTTACTTTGTGTTACAAGACACATGTATTACCGATGTCCGAAAACATGCTGGGGTTTTATGAAGGGAAATGATATAGGGCTTTGTGGATTTACTTGCATTCACGCTGGGTATTTTGAGGATCTTTGCTCGCCGGCAAGTTATTCCATGTGTCCGTTCATCAGGTGCTGCATTTATCTGAGGAGTCAGTTAATCCCTCATCACACTGCTGCCTCAACAGTCATTTGTGTCCTTGTGTTTGTTTGCATGTGTGTACACGCTTGTGACATGTACACAGCAGCTATTATTTGTGTGTATTAGTGCAGAAATCAAAATTACAGTTTATCTTTCTTAATGAGTGTTTGGCCTTGCAAGTAAAATCCATATTAATTACCACACCGATGTGAGTCGCAGACAATCTGCATTCCAAAAACTTCTTTTACTCTCCGACTTTGATATCATCATTCACCATCAGCATATTTGCTGAATGTGCTGAAACTTCAAAGGCTGATGCTTCGTAGGAATGTGCTGTTAAACTGTAAACATGAGGATAGGGCAATAAACCCGGCAGTGCACACAAACACACAGTGTGAGAAGATAATTTACACGGTTTACACAGCAACAAACCCATTCCTTTCATGGTGATTGCGGTCAATATGAAGCTCCCATGTGACTGCGCCAGAGAGAGAGGGCGAAAACTGTTCCAAAAAAGTGTTGAAAATGTAATGGAATTTGACCCCTGACTCCCATTTACGTTCTACCCTGCTTCATCATATCAATTCTGGGAAAAATAGAGAGCTGCAGTCGAAACATGTCAGCTGCCTTTCACATTCACAGAGGAATGTTGGCGAGTCTTCACAATGTTGTCAGTCAGTACGCCAGATAAGAGCTCTCAGTTCATAAATAAGATTGATGGCAACGCATACCACCAGTTCCTGCTCTGTGTTTTCCCATACAAGCATCCGTACTATCTCATCCGCTCATATCCTCTCTGCCCAAGTCCAGGCATGCTTCAGTGTTTTAACATATTCCCCATCCAGTTATCAAACCACAGTACAGTAGGATACATTTTACCTTTGCTCGCTCAGTTGTGAATAAGAAACAGGGCAAACGTTTCAAAGCTGGAGCACAAAATTGATCATAAATAGTTTTTTGAGGTCATAGGTTAATAGATAACTTTAAAAGATTATCCCCACAATGCCACTCAATTACATTAAATCAGGAGCCATCAGAACATTTTAGAAATGTCTTACTGGCAGGTATTTTGGATCAAATACAGCACACAATCAGTCAGCTGCAAAAGATAAGATAAGATATTCCTTTAATAGTCCCACAATGGGGAAATTCCAATGAAAAACCAACGTCAACAGAGTAAACGTGGTGAGTAAAGTGAGTATAAATGATCAACAGTTTACTGATTGATTTATGTTGGGTCAAAATAACGCTATTAAAAATGTACAGCAGTTCAATTCCAGTGTGCAGGTGCTTTTATATTGTATTTTTGTGACTTTTGGATATTTTACTTCAATCCCACTGAGGTTTCATGGATGTGCACGAGACTGTTCGAGTCCATGTTTTATTATGTCTCACCTGGAGTGACACCAAGACATTGTGATGCCCTTCCAGAGACATTCACTGTTTGATTATCTCACTCCACATAGTTCAGAGCAGCACCCCTGGAGCTCCAAGAACACAGCATAAAGGAAGCTCTGCAAAGTTGTGAAAACAGCACAGACAGTGTTAGAATGTTATTGTTCTGCCGTTGACAGTCTGATATGTTGTATTGATGCCACTTTCCAATAAGGTACTCTTTATGAAGGGTTTTTAGGTTGTAATTTATGACTTAGTCAATGATTAATAAGTAATGCACTC